ACCCCCGCTCCGGACGCGGGGCGAGCGGCCGCGGTGAAGCGCCGAGGGCGGCGCGGGCGCAGCGGCCATGGGCGCCCTGACAAGCCGGCAGCACGCGGGCGTGGAGGAGGTGGACATCCCGTCCAATTCCGTGTACCGCTACCCGCCCAAGTCCGGTGAGGGCGGGCGTCACACGGGCTGGGGAGGAGGTCGCGCCGCCCGGGGGCCGGGACTCCGGGGGGTCGTGGGGGACCCAGCGGCGCACGTCGCTGCAGAGCGAGTTTGGAGGGAGGGAGGTCATGGAGGAGGCGTGCAGGGGTGCTTGAGGGGCCCCGGCGGGGTCGCCGCCGTGGCCAGCCGACCGCCCGAGGACGTGAGCGGCCTGCGCGCAGGCTGTCCTGTGACAGACGTGTGCTGGGGGGGACTGCGGCTCTCGAGGGGCGGGGTACCCAGGGCGCAGGCCGGTCCCGCCGTCCGCAGCCCCGCGCGCGTCCCCTCTCCTCCCACCTGGAGCCCTCCTTCCCTTGGGTTGCTGAGGGCTGGACGAGGCGGGCTTGGCCTCCGAAACAGGCACCTGTGCTAGGTGCTGGCCCTGCTCGGCGCATCCAGGCCTCCAGACAGGGACAGGCACAGGTTTGAATTCGGTTTCCCAGGAAAAGCTTGCATCGCCTGCTGGAGGACGAAGGCCGAAAATGTGTTTGCAGTTCTGGTGCTTTTCAAGAGGCTGTCAGAAGAAGAGTGTTTAACAGAAATGTTTGGGAATCGAAGTGTCAGTCACCTGGGCTGTCCCTTTGCCCAGAGTAGCTGCAAGCCTTGATTTTGGAATGGGGATAGTTCTGGTACGGGGCACAGGTATTTAAAATATAGAAAAGTGTTATGTTTGTTTCCAGAATCGTTAAAAAGAGAAACGTCGTGTCTCCAGCCTCTGGGTTGTGGCATAGGCGTTGGAGATTGAGGATTTTGACAGCCGAGAGAGGCTCACAAGTGGATTTGAGCAGCAGCCAATTCTGAGCTGCTGGTGCATGCCCTAGCTCTCTGCTCTTTGTGTTTCATTGCTTTTCACAAGACTTCTGGGGGCCGCTGACTACCACCTTCTCTTTGGCATAGGACCTGGTGAGGATTTTGGTGATCCGGGAGAGGTTTCAGAACTGGACAGTAGAATAAAGACATGCTAATGAGATGAGCTGGTTTCTCAGCAGTATGTCCAGTTTGTGCCAGGTGAACGCAGAGACCAGACAATGAACCTGCACCCCTGCAGAGTGACCGCCAGGGCTGTGTTTCTCACTGCTTCTGTGCCAAAGAAGGAATCCTTGCAGAGATGAATACGCTTAAGAGCTGTTTTAGAACAGCCTGAGATAAAGCTGTGGCTCATTCGAGTTTTAACCGAGCTCTAGCTAATGATGACGATCTGAAACCAGTGGTAAAGGAAGCATGTGTTTTGCTTTTTAATAGATGAAAATATGCACAAGTGTTTGTAATTTTTTTCCCTGAAATCACTTAGCTTTTATTGATCAGAATATGGAGCATGTTTTGCTGAACTCGAGTTCTCAGTAGAGTTTGCTGCCGCAGAGGAATATCCACCCTCCCTCACATATGGGGATTAATGTAGGGAGATCACGGGAAAGCTTTTCCCCAAAGGATATTAATACAAGTATAAGTCTTGGATGATGATAATGAAAGGATAATGGGTCAAATAAAACTTTTCTTAACCAGCACACTCAATACCTACAGTTTTAAGTAACCCTTTCCATTCTACCAATCTTTTAAAAGTTTTATCTAATTGTAACTCATTCTTAATCAAAAATTTTGTATGAGAGAAATCTTTGCATCAAGTGGACCCATTTATTTATGTTGAAGGTAAAACACAAAAAATAGGAGTCAGAACATTCACGTCCCAGCCAGCAAACCTTTGTGGACCTGAAAATTTGGGCACACTTGATATGTGCCCTAGTTTAGAGGCCTCTCTCACCCTTCATCTGATCTTTAAATTGACCTAGCTCTTTTATGGGATTATAGTATTTTAGATCTGAAAGGAACCTTCAAGAGAGCTTGGCCTAAGACCCACTTATTTTGCTGGTAAGAAAATGGAGGCCCAGAGGATGAATTGGTGTGGCCAGGGTGACCCAGCAAGTAATACTCTTCTTACTAAACTGTCAGCCTCTGCCTTTCACAAGGAATTAGATTTTGAACTTGTCCTTCATTTGTGGAATGGAGGCTGTTCTGCGTCAGAACTGAAACAAAACTCAGAGGCCTGTCCCTGTTGAATCAAACTGGGTTGATTTTGAGAAGTCTCCTTATCTTGAGACTGGTCTAGAACAAAGGAAACAGCAGAGTCAGCTTTCCCTAGGTGACCCACACCGGAGAGGCTCTAAAACCCTGCTGCCTGTGGAATAGTCGTTCCAGAAAACAACCCTGTCATCTGTCCCTGTAACGAGGGTCACAGTGCCCTGCAGAAATTGCTTTTTGTTTTTTATATTTTAAAAGGAAGCCCTTCGTTTTGTATGTCCATTGAACTGGAAACACTGAAAAATTATTGAGAATAGCCGATTTCATGTCGGAACTTGGGTTTGTAGCCCATTGTTGTTGTTGGTTTGTAGCCTTTTCAAATAGAGATGCATGAAAATGAATTAGCCTAAATTATTTAAAATTGCTTATTTTTTAAATAACGAATGTAGTCAATCTGGTTTAAAGTTAAAAAGAATGAAAAGGCATCCTGGGAAAGTCTTGCTCTTGCTGCAGCCCAGCCTCCCAGGTCTCCTAACTCCTCACACACCTCCCCCCGCCTATGGAACGGCTCCTGGCTTCGTCCAAGTTTCTTGTGTACACACAAGCATAGTGTGCTATGTAGACTGTTCCGTACCGTGTTTTTTTCACTTCTAGAGATATTGGAGATCTTTTCAGATTATGTCAGTATTTGTGAGAGTTTTGATTCTTTTTTAACAATTGAATAATATTCCTTTGTGTATTCCTTTTTTTTTTTTTAAACATGGTCTCCTGTTGATGAATATTTGGGAGTTTTTTCAATCTTTTACTATTGCAAACAATGCAGCAATAATTAATGTTATATATATATGTTCTTCAGTGATTTTTAGATTTGTCAATAAATACATGAATACTCATCATTTAAGTAACAGAAAGTATGGTGGGGGTTCATTTCTCTATACTATTTCCTCATTAGCATCGAAAGCTATTTATAGAACTATTCTGCATTTGGCTTGGCCTTTGTTGTTTTTTTTGAGTTAGAAGCCATACATGCTATTAAATCCTTTTTTTTTTTCTTCTTTAAAAGCCCACAATCATTTGTTTAACAAAGGTATGGCTTTGCTGAAGTGGTGGTTTTTAATGCATGCATGCCCATCTTTGAAAGGGATATGGACATTGATAAAAGTTATTAGATCTATTTTCTTTACCAGGAAGAAATCGGCATGATATAAAGACCATTTAATTTCATTATAATTCAGTACCTGATAAATCTAGTTCATTTCCTGCTACATATATGAGCAAATTGAAAAATAGGAGTCATTCATTTTGCTTAAGTGTTAAGAGAGAGGTAAACCTATCACAAAAATTCAGAATGGCCATCGAGTGCTGAGCAGCTAACGTCATCATTCTCCAAACTTTTCTTATGTTAGAGCGCACATATGCTTGTCAAGTGGGTCTGCCCTATGGCAAGAGCAGCTTTTAAAGCATGGGTAATAAGTTGTCTGTCAAATAGTTATAAACATTTCTCTTAGCTTTTCGGAGCATCAGTTTAATATTAGTTTTGAAATCAAGGACTTAAAAATATGCAATTTACTACATAATAAAGAGTTATTTGGTTCTGCCACAGTTTGATATTAAACACCTAAAACATGGTGATTCTGTTACTTTTGAAAACTCCAGTACTTTTGCCTTATTGGTGCTTTACTTCATTGAGAGGAGACTGGTTTCTTTCATATTTTGATTTTTGTCTTCAGATTTAAGGCCTTTGATTTCCTGTATGATGGTGGTGGTTTTCTTTTGTTCTTCAGCATCTTTTTTCTCTTTCTGTTTATTACCATGAATATGCATTATTGGGCACCTGCTATAGCGTGCCTTGTGCTCTGCACCAGTATATAGATTCTGATCTGGGCCCAGTGATTTTAATGCCTATGGCAGGTAGTGGAATAGAAGTCCTCAAATCAATTGTGTAATTCATGATGTGGGTCACAGAAGGAAGTATTAACAACACAAGCTATTTGGTGGCTGTATGAGTCTGTGAGTCAAGGCTCTCCAGAGAAACAGAATATGTGTGTGTGTGTGTGTATATTTATATATGTGTATCTTTAAAGGTATTTGTTCATGTGATTGCGGGAGCTGACAAGTCTAAAATTTGTAGGGCAGGTTGGCAAGCTGGCAACTCAGACAGGAGTCAATGTTGTGGCCTTGAGTCTGAAATCTGTAGGGCAGGCTGGCAGACTGGAAACTCAGGCAGGATTTCTGTGTTACAGACTTGAGGCAGAATTCTTTATTCAGAAAACCTCAGTTTTTGCACTTAAGGCCTTCTACTGATTGGATGAAGCCCACCCACATTATCAAGGGGTTATCTCTTTTACTTCAAGTCAGTTAATTGTAGATGTCATTCACATCTACAATTAAACTTACAGCAACATCTAGACTAGTGTTTACCCTAGGCTAGCACCATAGCCTAGCCATGTTGACACATAACAGTGTAACAATCATAGTGGCTTCCTATTTTAACTAATTATTCTTACTAAGTAAATGCTAAGCTCCAAGTTTTAATTGCTGAAAGAGTGCCTGTGCTGTGAAAAAATATATTTTTAAAAATCTAAAAATTACACTCTTTAAAAATCGTAATTTTAAAATGATGCTTCTTGTAAAATTTCAGAGCTTACAATCTAGTGTCAGAGGCAGAATGCATGCATATAGAGATAAATAAGAATATAGAATATACCATGACTAAGTGGGATATATCCCAGGAATGCACGGTTGGCTTAATGTCTGAAAAGTCAAAGTTAATATAAGTAGAATGAAGAAAAAAAAAACAACAGCCACATAATCATCTCAATAGATGCAGACAAAACATTTGACAAAATCCAACACCCATCAATGATAAAAACTCTCACCAAACTAGGAATAGAAAAGAACTTACTCAGTTTGGTAAAGGGCATCTATGAAAAGCCCACAGTTAGCATCA